CTCCAACACCAAATTGCCATTCATCTCATAAGCAATGTATCTTAAAATTAAGCAGATTTTTTTCCTTAATGGTATATAAAACAGCCTCTTCTAATTGACATTTTAGCCTTGCTGATATGTAGTGCCAGGCAGGGTTGGTGTTGGGCAATCTGTACCAATATAAACCTGACCCATAGCCAATCCAGCTCCTCAGGCATGGTGAATTAGCCCAGGAAAGAAAAATGCTTTTCCCTTTTTTAGAGTCAGTAATAAAGTTATCAGCCCATAAACCTAATTTGAGTTCTGCGGCCACCAAAATTACATGAGAGCAGCTTTATGAGCACTGATGAGTCAGGACTCTGTCACATGCAGGTTTTAGGCAAGGCCTGCTACTCCAAAGGCTGAGGTGGGAGGATCGCTTGAGTCCAGGAGTTCTGGGCTGCATTGTGCTATGCCGATTGGGTGTCCACACTAAGTTCAACATCAATATGGTGACCTCCTGGGAGCAGGGTGCTACCAGGTTGCCTAAGGACAGGTGAACAGGCCCAGGTTGGAAACAGAGTAGGTCATACCACATAAGAGGCTCAGGGGCCTTTCTGTGTTCCTCTTAGTTCCTGTCTTACCATGTTCATTTATTTAGGGTTTTGTGAGACAGGGTCTCACTATGTAGTCCAGAGTGGCCTTAAATTTGTTACTCTCCTGCATTAGCCTCAGTGCTGGGATTACAGGTGTGCACCACCATGCCTGGCTATGTCCCTGTAAATCTCTTATCTTGGTGTCCTCAGTCTTGAAGGAAAATGAGCTAGGCTAGGTAAATTTAGGGCCAATAACTTTGTTTTGCCAACTTTTAGACCTGCCCTACAGGACTGACCTGCCTTATTCAGACCTGAGAAGGGATATTAATAATTAAAATAATTTTTAAAAATGAATAAAAGGGCCAGGGATTTAGCTCAGTGGTTCTGCCACCTGCCTTGTAAGCGCAAGGACCTGAGTTCAATCCCCAGTACCAAAAAAATAAATTTTTAATTAATAAATTTTATTCTACTTTATTCCTTTTATCCCCTCAAACCCCCCACCTTTTAAGCAAAAACCACTTTAAATCCCTGACTGCCTCAGAAGTAAACACAGATCATGCATGCTTTTAATGAATAACAGGTTATGGGTTCAGGAGTTTATCCTCTGTCCCTATGGTGTCTCCGACTGTGTCAAATGTAGGGATTTTTGTTTGTTTGTTTGTTTGTTTTTTGGTACTTGGGATTGAACTCAGGTCCTTGGGCTTGCAAAGCAGGCAGTGGAACCACCGAGCTAAATCCCCGGCCCCAAATGTAGGTTTTGAGCAATGCCTGGACACTTCTCAGCACTGCTCTAGAGGATCTAGAGCAGCATAATATAAAAATTGACAGTGAAATGTCCCTACAAATGTTGAAAACACCTTCATTGCTCTTATCTTGGTGTCTTCAGTCTCAAAAGGGAGATGCTAGGTAAATTTAGGCTAATCAGTCTTATGTTATCAGGGACTCTTTAAGCAATTCACATGCCTGTGTGCAAAGCGGAGCAGCAGTTTGGCCCAGGTAATAAAGGAGACGGGGATAAAATGAAAGCATATTGGAGAAGAAGACAGAAAGCAAGGGGCCCTGCACAAAGCTATCCACATAGGCGACCCAGGGATCAAATGCTCTGAAGATGCTCACCATGGTGTTCTCAAGCCCCAGAAGCCAGCCTGGCTGAGAGGGCCCTGGATCTGTGGGCAGAGGAGGAAGCAGCTGGCTTGAGGGGAGGGATTTCCTGCCCAAGTAGGACTGTGACGCTTTAGGAGCAGGTGCAGTGGTCCTGTTGGAGGAAGGCAGGCAGATTTGGGACACACTCCCTCAATCCTACCTCCAACACATCCCCAGGCCAGATCACCTCAGACAAGTGCACTCAGTAGTGTGGCCCTTCAGATGGTAGAAGTGTGAGGTGGCTTTTGCTACAAAGGTGTGACACCAGGAGCAGGTACCTTGCATGTGGCAAGATGTTGAGCTTGGCTTCTATTTTGGCCACATGAAGGTGCACAGCAAAGGCCCTCTCCATGCCAGTGGGCTCTGCAGCAAAAGTACTGGTGGGGTTTGTCCAGTGCCGACAGAGACCCCCAGCACCCGCTCAGCTCTGGGCTCCCTTACCAGCCCAGGGGCCACTGAGCTCTCAATCACTTCTGTTCCTGCCCTGGTGAGCTTCAGGTTGGAGGAGGGAGAGCAGGCAGACCAGGAAAACCCTTGGTTCATCACCTCACCCCTTCTCTCCTCCCACCAACTCCTCACTCAGCTGCACCAACAGAAGGAAAGGAGGAAGAAATGCACTCTTAGGGGAATTTGACAGGCTTCAACAATTTCCCTGCTCCTCTCTTCTAGCAGAGCTGACCCTACACACGCCTGTCCCCTCGGCTGTGTTGAAGTCTCTTGGACATAGAACACGGCAACCTCTGCCCTTACCGCCTCTCCTCTCTATAGCCCCTTGCTCTGCCTTTCAGGTGAAGGAATACAACTGCTGTCTGATCAGAGACCCCTCTAAACCACTTCCTCCCAAAACAGCTGCACCTGGGGACTCAACATTATCAGGCTTAGTATTGGTAGTAGTCACAGCCAGAGGCAAGGTGGCACACACCTGTTATCCCAGTACTCGGGAGGCTGAGGCAGTAGGATTGCTGTGAGTTTCAGGCCAGCCTGAGCTATCTAGTGAGTTCAAAGCCAGCCAAGCTGCATGGTAAGCCTGGACTACATGGTAAAAAAAAAAAAAAAAAAAAAAAAAGATAGCGGCCCCTACTTTCCTAGGCCCCATCCTTGGGCAACCTCCCTCAAGCCTTGTGCTTGGCAGGAAGCCACAACCTTCTTTCACTGAACTCTCCCTCCCCAGGACCCTACAAAAGACCCCAAAGCCTGTAGGATCGTTGCTGCTCTCCTCTCTGGTGCCAGAACAGTCCCTCTCAGGTTTGTTCCGAAATAAACCTGTCCTGTTGAGCTGTATTTCTTTGTCTTCCTATCTCTTTTCCTGACAATAGGGGTTTGTGAGCCTTTCCTCCTCACAGAGATTGCTCTCCTCCTTTCTGTCCTTTTCCTTTCGCCATACTGGCTGCTGCCCCTCCCTGGGGAGTTGGTGCTTTGCTTTGGATTTGTTTTGTTTTGTTTTCAGTGGGTAGGGAGGACAGGAAAGGGGGGAATCAAAAATTCCATCCCAGAGAGGGTGAGATGTGCCAAGGGGCAGAAGCTGGCCTGGGCTATATAGTAAGATCGAATTTCAAAAACAAAAACAAATCTCGTCAGTTTGAAAGGACCTTTTAGGAAAAACTGAAAGTTCCTATGGCACATTTACAAGGAATTGTGGATTCTAGGGAACTCTGTGTGTCCATTATCTAATGTTCAGAACAGTTGGAGGTGCAGTTTGAAAAACTAAAACAATACTAGTGACATGGGGATGAAAGACCCTGTCCTTTTGGTAAGAATTTTGTTTGTTTTTTGAGACATGGTCTCAGTATGTAGTTGAGACTGACTTGGAACTCACTATGTAGCCCAGGCTGGTCTCGAACTCACAGCGATCCTCCTGTCTCAGCCTCCCAGTGCTGGGATTACAGGCGTGCGCCACTACGCCCAGTTTACTAGGAATTTTCTTATGACACAGATTCAAGTGGTCAGAGGAATTATGGCTGTGGAAATGGGCCAGGCTGAAGTCAAGACACTTCCAGACTTGCAGGTTCTCTGACTCTGTCCATGTGACCGCAGGAAACACTTCGATCATCTTTTGCTTTCATTTCCGTCTTTTGGTGATATCCAAATCCCCACGCCCACGCTCCAAGAAACCAATACAGGGTGCAAATGCCATTGGCATGAACCCTGCAGGTTCCATCAGTAAATACTTGCAACTTCACCTGGTTCAGCATAATGCAACCAAGGGCATTTATGAAATATTGTGGTCTCTTGATCCTAACAGCTCTGTGAAACCATACAATTATTATTATTATTATTATTTTTATTGAAGCAAGAGTCTCACTAAATAGTCCAGGCTGGCCTTGAATTCACTGTGTAGCCCAGGAAGGCCTGCTGGTGACCCTCCAGTCTCAGCCTCCCAAATGCTGGGATATAGACAGGCGCCACCATGCCCAGCCTTAAATCCTAGTTATTTATTAGCCCATTTTATAGGGTCAACTGAAAAAAAATAGCCAAGATGGAAAGTTGAACATAGTCTTGTCAATTTATCAATTTGGTAAGACCCAGTCTCAAAATAAAAATGGGCTGGGGATGTGGCTCAGTGCTAGACCCTTTCCTAGCATCCACGGGCCCTCGGTTCAATCCCCAGTAAAGCTAAAAACAAAACAAAACAAAAAAAAATGAGGCGGATACAAGAGCCTGCAAGTATCCAGTGATGCTTTTTTTCCGTCTGTCATTCGTAATCGCTGGATACCAAGTACACTTGGCACCACTCTGGCTTGAGTGTCTCTGGCTCTGCCATAGCCTCCTGAATTTCATTGGTACTTGAAGGTTTTCCTTGGGAAAACAGCGCCCCTTCCCGGGGAGGCCGGAGGCCCAGCGGGAAGGGTGGCCTTCGAGTTGCGGCGCCCTTTCCGCCCCGCTGCCCTCAACCGGACACTTAACTCTCGGGCGCTCGCTCCTGGAGAACTAAAACTCTCGTTTCCGCTCACCGGACTTCCGGGTTTGATAACGGAGCCGAATACGGTAGCCAATGAGGCTTACCCGAGGCGAATTATTGCTAATGGATAACGGATGCCGGCAGCCACCAACGCCTCTCTGAAAGCCTCAGACTGAGCTGGGCAGGAC